TTTTTTTTTTTTTAATGTTGTAGATGGATACTATGCCTTTATTTACTCCTATGCTGACGGTTGAACCCTGTGCCTCACATGTGCCAGTCAAGCATTCTTCTACTGAGCCACAACCCCAGCCCTATAAATACAGTTTTATGGGAACACAACCATTCTCATTCCTTTATACATTATCTGTATATGCTTTCCTGCTTATGGTGGCAGAGTTGAGTAATTGCTCTAAGGATCATATGAACCACAAAGCCTAAAATACTTAATATCTACCAACTCCAGTCTAGAGTAGTTTATCCCACTAATGAGCCAAAATCATTCTGCATATTCTGTGTAATGCTTCATGAATAATGAAATATCTTGGTTGGTGGGAATAAATACTATGTCTGAGCTGGTTGAGCCCAGAGGTTCCTTCCCTTTACTGTTTGGAGTGTTTCTTTTCCCCAGCTTTGGGGCGTTCCCTCATTGCTCATGCAACACTCAGTTAAAGACTCGCTGTCTAGAGCTCTCCCCATGCAGATCTGTCCTCTGTGGTAGTACCCTGAATACTTGAAATCACCGTGATCTCCTTGGACTCATTCAAGTCTGCCAGTTTCCACCTGGACTCCCCCAACTCGCCCACCATGGCTGGGAGCTCTCACAGGGGAGTAATCGGGGGCAGTCTTATTTGTTTCCCATTGCTCAGAGATCGCTGCTCTTCGTTTCCTGACATATGTATTTTGAAACTTGTATATTTTGCCTGGTTCTCCCCCCAACCCTTTCCCAGTAACTTTAGGCCAAAAGGAAATCTGGTCCCTGTCAGTCCATCTTAGCCAGAAGCAGAAGTCTAATTCTATTTTGAACTCCCCTTTGTGGTGAAATTGTCTGGTAAATGAAACACAGCAGCTCTCTTGGGGCTTCACCAATTACCGTATTTGAAGGAAAGTGAAAAAATAAAATAACACAGCTTTACATCGAGCACAGTGATTCTTGTACAATAGTTTTCTTCAGGGTTTACATACAGTTCCTGAAAGGACTGCCCTCTTGCTAATTTTTATAGATCATCTTTTTCTTTTTTTTTGGTACTAGGGATTGAACCCAGGGGCACTTTATCACGGAGCTACATCCCCAGGTCTTTTTATTTTTTTATCTGGAGACAGTGATAAGTTGTTGGGGCTGACCTCTAACTTGAGATCCTCCTGCCTCTGCCTCCTGAGTCGCTGAGATTACAGGTGTGTGCACTCTGATGAATTTTTTTGGCATTGTTGCTTTTTCCAAGAAAGGCTGTTTTCTGTTAGGGAAAGTATCTGTCACTGAGAAGGGACTGCATTCAGGGGTTGCTGTGCTGGATGTGAGAGAATGCTCCTCTTGAGTGTTAGCTATGGAGTCTCCACAGCAGAGCACATCCATACCGAGTTCCTCACTCTGAAGGCTTGCTGGCTTCTGGGGTTTGGGAATAGGAGGATGGAGGGGAGGGGAGGGGCATGTTTTAAATCAGATTTTTTTTTTTCCTTCATGTTTTGAAATGCTGTGTCCCTTGTTGCTTTGCTTGCAAGCTGTTTTTCCATGATAAATGCAAACATGGAAGTAATCTTTATGCAAAACCCTTACTAGCCTTTTCTCTGCCTCAGGAATCTCGACGATGTGCTGAGGTTGCTGTGGTTCTGCCTCATTGCCATGTCCTGTATTAGATAAAAAATAAAAGCCAGGAGGGCTGGGGTTGTGGCTCAGCGGTAC